TAAATCAAAAAAAAAACATTAAAATGGGTTACCCTTGAGATTTTCATACTTTCCTAACCTTTTCTGGATGGATGAGTTCAGCTCAAAGAAAAGTCCAGCGAGGCTTTGGTGCAGGAATTTAACTGACTACAGTGGTCGCTGAGGCCACTGGGTGCTGGGAATTAGCCCTCTCCCCTGCTGTGGGATCTGGAGATTCACCTGGAAGTCAGGTCAGGGTGTGTGTGGCCGAGGGCAGTCACCTCACCCTGAGCACTGACCTGGGACAAGCCCTCCTCATGCCAGGGCTGGTCCTCCCAGCTGAGGACAGCACGTGGAACACAGAGAAGACATCTGCCTGATGAACAGCAGGCCTGCAGGCAGGATTACTGGGAGCAGGTGCTGAAAAGGGTCTGGTGCTCCAACAAGCATTTGAAAAGTCATGACTTCCCCTAAATAGTACCCTAAATAAAAACGGGGAAAAGTCCACCAAAGAAGATCAAAATAGGACTAGGATAGATAGAAAACAACAACAGGGTGAATTCAGCTATGATAGATTTGCTATATTGTAAGAACTTTTGTAAATTCAACATTGTACAATAAAAAAATAAAAAGAAAACAATGCCACCAACCTGGCCTAGGGAAAGAATTTCCTAAGCCTAGGACTAAAGCCAAAAAAAATAGATTGAGAAATTTGATTTTGTATGAATTTCAGATTTCTCTATAGTCACACCAAATTTAAACTTGCAAACTTGAAATAATTGCAGCTGTATTATAGACCAAAGGTTTTTGCATTTTAATGTATAAATAGCTCTTTTAAATAAACAAGAAAGTAACGAAGACCCTTTCAGAGTAATAGGTTAAGAATAAAAACAGGCAATTCAAGAAGCTGGAAAAGCATTTATTCACTGTAGTCATCAAAAGACTGCAACTGAGATGAGATGTTTTTCTTTCACTAACTGAACAAGCAGTGCAGCTGCTCTATGTGGACCTGGATGTAAAAAAGCCATGGAGCCCATGGCATGTACTGTAGTAAAGTCTGTGCAGACAGCAGACTCGTGATGTGTACCAAAGCATCAATGAAAGGACATTCTTTAACCTGCAAACCAACTTTTTAGAATTTATTTGAAGGAAATACTTGAACAACCAACACTAAGATACATGTGTAAGATTTGAAAATTGTGCCCTGTGGTTTGGATGTGGTTTAAGTGTGACCCCAATGGGCCCCCGGTGTGGTGATGTTGAGGTGGTGAGACCTGTAAGAGGTGGAGCCTACTGGAAAGTCATTAGCTCATGGGAACATCACCCTGGGAAGTGATTAGGGCTGCTGTCTTAGGGTGAGTTCTCACAAAAACAAATTGTCATAAAGCAATTCACCCCATGTGCCTGGCCCCTTCTGCACATGGTTGTATCTGTTTCTACTTCTCTGCCATGTTGTATCACAGCCGAGAGGCCCTCACCAGAGGTCAAACAAATGAGGCCACCTGATCTTGGATTTTCAGCCTCCAAAACTATAGGTGGAATAAACTTCTTTTCTATATAAAGTACCAGCTTCAGGCATTTTTGTTGTAGCAACAGAACAGAACTAAGATACTGTATGAGAAGAAGTAGTGAGACAGCTGATTGGGGTTAGGAAGATGAGAGAGCAACCTAGAGAATCACTCAGGATTTGTAGCGGGCAACTGGGCACTTGGCAGGGCTGTTTCCTGACATGTGCAGTAGGTCTTGGAGCAGGTGATAGATTAGGTCCCATGTGTTTAACATTTCAGGATCGTGGATCCAGTGGGAGATGTCCAGGCCAATGGCCTGTGTGGGTCTGGAGCTCAGTGGGAAGCTGAAGGATTTTAGGCACTGGTGTGAATGTCAATGTCATGGTTGGAGACTGCAGCAGGGGGTGATGGGGGCTTTGGACACACCTGGGCTGCCAGGAGGGAGGACCAGTTCTCATGCTGACCCCTCTGATGGAATCCTGTTTGTCACACGCCAGGCCTGGGAGCACTCTGTGGGCATCATCTGCTTTCCCAGTCTGCAAAGGCTGGCAGAAGATGTTTCAGACCAGCTTGCCCAGGAAATACAGAAGGCGCTTGCCGGGAAGCCTGCAGGTAAGAGGGAGGAGCTGGAGCACCTGCAGAGCAGAGCTGCAGAGGCCATCCCTGCTGCTCCCTCCCCTGCCTGGAGCAGCAGTGTTGGCCTCTGAGTGGCTGGACACAGGGACAGGCACAGACAGGGGCTGGAAGTCTGCTGCTTCTGGGACCTGGACACTCACAGACACACACACAGTCACACTACACACTGCCCACACAGACACATGCGGCCACAATACACACTGCACACACAGACACATGCAGCCATATTGTGCACTGTACACACACCAGACACACACGGTCATAATGCACAGCACACACACAAACACATGCAGTTATGCTACTCACCTCACACAGACACATACAGTCACGATAGACATTGGTCACACTACGCACTACATACATAGATGTAAACAATGACATTACACATGGCCTACACACTGTCATGCTCCATTGTACACATAGACACACAGAGTCACACTACACACACTGAAATGCTACATACCCCCCTGATTATCCCAAATGCACTGCACACAGACACAGAAAGTCATGCTATACACATTCATTCATGAAGTGACACTGCACACAGCTTGCACACACGTATGGAGTCACAGTATGCATACTGCCCATGCAGACATATGTAATCATGCTACACACTGCACATGTGGACACGCAGCCACATGCAATCATGTTACACACTGCACATGGATGTAGAGTCATACTACACACTCAGCACACACAAAAACACTCTACGCTGCACACACAGATACATACGGTCATCTACACACACTGCATACACAGACATACATGTGACACACACACATAGACACTACTCATGGATATTACACACCAACACACACTGCACACAAATGCAGAGACATATTCCTCACAAAGACACACAGATATACACACACGTCACAAATACAGAGATGCATGAACACACACACACACACACACACACACAGTGAGGACAGGGTCTTGGAGAGGATGTGCTAGGGCTGGGGGTGCACCTGTGGGTCAGTGGGTGCTGGTCCAGAGAAGCCAAAGGCCAGAGCCTGTATTGTTTTGGGGTCTCCTGCCTCGCTTTTTCCAGCCATGTGAGCTGGACCTTGGAGGGCAACTGCACCATCGCTGCAGCTGGTGGCTGAGGGGCAGGAGGGAATTCCAGGTGACAGGAAGAGTCTGAGCAGGGTGTGCTTTGCAGTGATTCCTGCCGTGTAAGTGGCTGTATGGTGCAGGACATGGGGTGAAGAATCTGGATTGTGGGGAGTCCATTAGCTGAGGAGCCCTGCCACTCACTTGGCAGCAGGGCGTCATTGATGGTTACTAAATGGTGGTGAGATCAAGGCTGTTGTCCAAAGAGATTAATCTGGCAGAGTTTAAATGTTTGCCATAGACTCAAATGGCCTTGGGGTTCATGGGCAGGAGGCCAGAGCCTGCACAGGTGCTCAGTCATATCTCATGGGGACTGGAGACTCTGGATGGGAGGAAGCTGGCAAGCCAGATGCTCCACCGACCTGCTGCTGACATTTTCTTGCAGAACAAGCTCGGGCAGCAGCAGGGCAGTTGCTGCAGTGGAAGGGGGACTTGGATCAGGATGGCTACCTGCTCCTGAAGTCGGTGTATGTGCTCACAGGGACAGACTTGGTGAGTTTCAGGCCCATGGCCTCTGCCTGGAGCTGCCCTTCAACCATGGGCAGGGAGAAGTCCTCAGAGGGGCAGCATGGCCCCTTTTCAGGAAACTGATTGACTCTTTTTCCCCTATGATGGTACACTTTGACCTCAGGATCTGAAATTCAGTTTTGAACCTCACTCTTTTCAGTTGACAAGCTGTGTGTAACTGTAGGCAAATGATATCACTCAGTTATGCTTCTGATTTTAGAATTGGGACTAATCACATCTCTCCTCCAGGGATTAATATGAGGATATCAGCAGCTGATGGTTACTGACCATTGCCTACACTGGGGCAAGGCTGGGTGTATCCCATGCCTGGTGCCAGCAAATCCTTCCAAGAACCCTGAGTTAAATGGGGATACCATGGGAGTGATGAGAAAACAGGGTCACCTGGGCATAACTCCAGCCATCTAACTTCAGAGCCCCTGCTCTGAGTCACGGTACAGACCCCATACTGTGAACTTGGCAGGAGGCCGCAGGGTGGCCATTGCCCCCAGTGCATGGGACATGCAGGTAGTGGGCGGGAGTTTGGATTCAAGCATGGAGCTGGGATAGCAAGGCAGGCAGTGTTGTGTGGGTGGGCAGCAGCTGATCTCAGATGTTAACTGTAGGAGGGACTCCTGACTTTTCCTCAGAATAATTGATCTGGACCACCACAGGCATGGTGCCTGGAAGCCCAGAGCAAAGGCTTGTCTGCCCCTGAAGAGGACCTCTCTGCAGTCTGAGTGGGGACAAGTCCACCTAAAGGCTGGTTATCCACAGGAGCAGTGGGCCCCACTGTGAGGAAAGCAAGAGCAGCTGGCAGTGAAACCTGTGCAGCCCAGAGAGGCCAGGGACAGCCTCCCCAAATGGGTCAAATAAAGGGGGAAAGAGGACATTATCTTGCCTTGAAACAGCCATCCTAAGTGGTCCCATGATTGCCTGCATTTTATATTTGAAAATTTAGAGCCCAGGGAGACTTCTCTGCAGTGCCCACGGCTGTGGGAGCCCGGCGTGGACTGGGGCTCTGGGGCTGAGCTGCCTCTGACATGGGTCACATGTGCTCTTCCTTTGCAGGAGACGCTGGGCAGAGTGGCAGAGTCCGGGCTTCCAGCCCTGCTTCTCCAGTGCCTTTACCTCTTCTTTGCCTTTCCTCTGGAGAAGGATGAACTTTTAGAGAGTGATGTTCAAGGTCAGAGGATGTTTGTGCAGGTGAGTGGGAGCAGAAGCCTGACTTCCCTACACCACGACCTTCCCCACACCACAACCTTCCAGGACCAGACTCTCTGATTCTTTTGGGAGAAGCTTTTGCCTTTGTCAACCCTAATTCCCAAGCTCCTCTGTCCTCCTGAGGGCCCGACTCACCCTCTGCCCCAAGCTCTGCAGTGTCTGGGTGGCTGGAAAATGATTTTTCTCTTTTGCTCTTCACCTCCCGGCTTCTGCATTGCTATGTAGATACCTGGTTCTCTATGCTCTCCTAGAAGATGGGCTCCTCCTCTCTGCCTCCCTGGCTCCTCCTCCAGTCTGCATTCATGGATCCTACCATCCTCCCTGGCATGGGAACCTCTCTCTCCCGCCCCTTCCCTGCTTACAGCAAGTGTGCTCTGCTGGACTCACAAAACAGTAGCCAACATTTTCAAAGTACAGTCACATACCACTTGATAGGAACATTCTGAGAAAAGCATCCTTATGGGATTTTGTTGTGTGAATATCATAGACTGCACTGATACAAACCTAGATGGTACAAGTCAGCCACTCAACATGGCCTCTTGAACATACTATTTCATAGTAAACTGCTTTTTTATGTAGAAAGAGTGTGCTCTGAAATAATGACAAATACATAGTGTATCAAGTACATAAGCCAGCAACACAGTTGTTTATCATTATCTAATATTACGTACTGCACAAAATTACTTTTCATTTGCGGTTCCAGGGATTTGAACTCAGGGCTTTGTGCTTACTACGAAAGTGCTCTACCACTTGAGTTACACCTCTAGTCCTTTTGCTTTTAGTTTAGTTCTGTTTTTTGGAGAGGGTCTGGTAGTACCTTTGCCCAGGATGGCCTTGGGTGGTGATCCTCCTATCTCTATCTTCTCTGTAGATGAGATTATAGGTGTGCACCTCATGCCAGGCTTGGGATATAATTTTTATGCAACTTGCAGAAGATGTATTTGTTTACACAGGCATCACCACAAATGAGTAAGACGTTGTGGTATGACATTATTATGGTGGTCAGGACATCACTACACAACAGGAAGTTTTCAGTTCCATAATAATCCATCCTTGACTAGAATGTCATTGTGCCATACGTAGCTGTACTGTCCACAGGCCTCACATGGGCCATCTCCAGGAGCCTTCTTGCGTCCCTGGGATGTGTGTAGTGTTGTCTCCCTGTCTGTATAAACAAGGTACAGAGAGTGTTTGTGGAGTTGGGGTCACAGAAGTCATGGGTGGAGCTGGGATTGGGGCTGGGATCTGGCATGAATTTACTCAAAGTCACTCTGTTTAGTATTCTGTGATGTCACCTCCTTCCTTTCCTTCAGAAGACCTCTCAGGATGCAGAGCACCAAACAATTTCCTCTTGTTGTTTCCTTCTTTCCCTTCTTCCCTGACTAACTTCTCACCTCCTTCCCATGCCCCTTTCTTGAGAGTTTCTATGTTCTCAGCTTCTGAGATGCCATGTTCTCCAGAGGGATCTTTCTGCTTCTCTGCTTGTGCAGAGGATGGTCAGGAGGACCATGTGCCTTTCTTGTCTCTGAGTGTCCAGTGACTCGGGCAGCAGCTCACACATGACAGGTGCTTACTGGCATTTGAATTTCCCAATGCAACTGGCCACGGTACCTGCCTGGTCACATGAACATCTGTTTTATACTAACTCTCAAACAGAATCGTCATTACTAGAGGGTATGACATGAGTTCTGTTTGTTGAAGCTAGGCATCATTTTGCCCATGTGCAGTTCTGAGTGGTGGCCAGGACACTGCACCAGACCTTTTAATGAGTCTTTACTGTGTGGTTTTTATGTGCCCTGCTGGGAACTAGTGCAGTGCTTGTCTTCCTTTGGATTTCTGGCAAGATGCAAGCCCCAGGTGACAGACTATGTGAATGTTCCTTAAGAGCTTTCATTACTTCATTCCACTAAAACATTTGGAGCTTCTTCTGTGCACAGCACTGCCAGACCTGTGATTACTGCAGCAGACACAGAGTCCTCACTGCTATGGGCGACAAAAGTGGGAGAAGCCAAATGGGGAGTGGGGACAACCCATGAATAATATATAGTTACCAATTTAGTAAGAGCTACAAAGGAAAGTTGGAGATGTGTTGAGAAGACTGATTTATATGACAGAGTGGCTTTTGACCAGACAGCTGAAGGGTGACTGGGACCAGAAGGCAGCCTGGCCTGGTTAGGGTGGAGAGAAGCAGGGAGTAGATGGAAAAGGAGCAAAGAAATGGTCACCCAAGCCCAAGGTGAAAATCTGGTCACGTGGCCAAGCTACCCCAAGGGAGGCCTGGCCATGGGCTCTGCAACCCAGCCCCGAGGTCACCCACCTTTGGTCCCAGCACCATGCTAGCAGAAGCTAATGCATTCATTCTGATGGACGGAGCTTGTGGTATTTGCTGAGTTGGAAGGAGGTTCCAATGGACCACCAAGCGCCCAAGGGAGAGCTACATTTGATAAAGATAGAGCAGAGACAGGGCTGGTCCATGCACGACACTATGAGCCATGCTGGGGCTTTTGAATTTTAGCCTCAGTAGACAGGACTGTATCAGAAATCCCTCTGTCAACCATCCTGAGATGGATTGGTGGGGTGTGTGTGGGGGAGGAGCTTAATTAAGTTAGAGGAGGAGCTGTCATGATTTTATAGAGAAGTAGTTTGAGTGCTGATCAGGAATTTTAGAACACCTTTCTTTTTAAATGGCACAGCATTCTGTTAAGGTTATACCTTAACCATTGTTGCCATTTTTATATTTCCACATGAAAAGACACAGATGTCAGCCACTTCTTTGTTACAGTCATCCCCGCTTATCTGTGGCTTCAGTCTCCCTTGCTTCAGTTAACTGTGGTCCTCAGTCTGAAAATAGAAAATGAAATATTCCAGAAATAATTGCTGTTTTAAATAACTTTTATTATATTTTTATAATTGTTCTAGTTGTTATTAGTTATTATTGTTAATTTCTTAGTATGCCTAATTTATAAATTAAACTTTATCATAGGCATGTATGCATATGAAAAAACAGTACATTGGTCCCTAGGTATCCATGGGAGATTGGTTTCAGGACTCCTGCGGATACCTGAATCTGTGCATACTCAAGTCCTCTATAGAAAATAGCATGGAATTTGCATATAACCTATGCCCACCTTCTCTATACCTCAACTCATCTCTAGGTTACTTAGAATACCTAACACAATGCAAATGCTAAGTAAATACTTGTTCTGTTGTATGACAGGAAAAAAGTTTGTACATCTTCAGCAGACATGCAATATTCTTTCCTGAATATTTTTTCAGCTTTGGGTGGTTGAATCCCTGGACAGGGAACCCATGGATATGGGGGCTGACTGTTTCTCTAGGGCTCAGTAGCACATGGGGTTGAGGCATTTAGGCAATATCTTGCACGTATTGCCCGTAGATAAGGGGACTGCTATATTCTGATTTGGAAAGCATGACAACTGCTTTTTATAGACACTATGGTCTCAGACTTGAGCCACAGCCCTATCTCCCCTTTCGTGGCTGGCTCCACTGATCATGCTGGTGGGAGATAGAAGGTGACCATGCACACAAGCCAGTCCTTCCCACTGAGGCATGCCCATCAATAAAGCAGAGAAGTGGGGATCAAATCAACACAGGAGGGTGGCTTCCTAACCAGAGCCTCCTTGGTTTCTCCTCCTTTCCTTCCTCCTCCTTCTCCTTCTTTTTTCTCAGATGTTGCTCAACATTTGCAGTGAGCCTCAGAGTCTGGAGGGACTTCTCTCAGGAAGCGAGCTCCAGTCTCTCTTGATTGCCACCACCTGTCTTCGAGAGCACAGCTGCTACTTCTGGAAAGAGCCCACCTTCTGCGTGCTGAGGGCGATCTCCAAGGCTCAGAGTCCCAGCATCATCCAATACCTGCAGGGTAGGACTTAGGAGACCAGGTGTGGGCTGTGGGTTCCCTTGAACTCATGGAGGGAAGGCTGAGGTGCACTTTCTACGATGAGACCCTGGAATGTTCTTGTAGCATCAGTGAAGAGGTGAACAGTTAGTTATACCCTGGAAACAATCCTACAGTATGTGGTTCTCTTTGTGAAAGTACTTGCATTATTCACTTTGATGCTCTGTTGATGGAGAGTGAGAAAAGGGGAAAGTCTTTGCACATACTACCAGACAGACAACATGCTGGGTGAATTTGCATATCATCTCATTTATTTCTTTGAGATAGATTTTGGTATGGGGAAAGTGGGAATCAGAGGGGTAGAAGCTCTTGTCAAGATCTGTTTTCTAACTTGGAGATGTCTGATTCCAGCACCTTAGTTTCTGCTCTGGGCCGTATGTCCAGGAGCAAAGGCCAGAGTGTGGACTCTGCTAAGTGACCGCAGGTCCTTAATCACATGGGTGCCTCAGTTCTCTCATCTTTAAAATGGGTGTGACAATACTGCCCTTGGATCTTTGTGATTTTCAATGAGTTGACACATGTGAAGTTGACAGTGCTTGGCACACACTGGTATGAGTGTCACACCATTGTGATTTGGGTTTTATGAGAGGCAAGGTGCCATGGGAGTCAATTCTCTTACCAGTCTCAAAGCTTCCCTTAGCATCAGCTGCCTCCTGTGGACCTAGATAACACCGGAAAGCATAATGTTCACCATGGCTGCTCATGGAATCTCAGGAGAGGGAAGCATGTGAGGCTGGCTCCATGGAGGATGTTTTTGAGGGAGGTTCCCCTCAGTCTTGCCCACTGAGCACCCTTTTCTTAGCTTCCTCAGCTGAGCACAGCAGGTAACCCCCCCCCACCCAAGGACACTACAATCCTTCCTTTGGGTTGGCTGGGACCAGGCTGGGCGTCTGAGCTGTCAATCTGGCCTGTGTGTCCACAAACATTGCCTTATGGTCTGTCTTTACTGGGATGTCCTGTAACAGGGGCATTAGATGAGGAGAGGCCAGAAAGCCCCATGGTCCTCCAAGTCCCAGTTTAGAGACTCAAAGCTCCCTACAGTGCCAGGGCCAGTGTTCAGTCAAGGGCTGAACTGTGCCTCAACACCTCAGTCTCCCTTGGTCCTCCCCTAGCTAGATTCTGAGTAGATAAGGAAAGGAAGTAGGGGTAGATTGCAGGAGTTTCTGACTATCCTGTCCTCTGCTGCTCAAGACAACAGATCAAAAGGGTTTCACCTAAGTGGGAAACCTGCCACCTGAAGCACTAGGCCCAGAACCTTCTTGACTGAGTGGATGGTTTCTGTGGGCTCATGGAAGGAGTAGGGAAGGCTGGCCTGGCAGTTACCTGCCACATCAGCTACTCTTAGGGCTTCCCTGCCCAAGGTACACACTCCAGGCTCTCCTCAGTCCTTAGTGTTGTCTCCACTTCCACTGGTGTAGCCTTCTTGGCACTCAGAAGAGGCTCCACTCAATTGGAGAACCCTAAAAACAGGAGCTACAGAGGACCAGTCAGATGGCATTCCTCTTCTGACTCACCCCTTCCTGTCTTCCTGTGCTCTGAGTAACCAGCAAGTTCAATGCCAGGCTCACGAGTGGATACCACCTTCTTCTTCCTCTGTGGTTCACTCTTATCCAGCCCCTGGTTTCTTTAGCACCTGAAACACACCATCTTTTCCCCTGCACCTCCTCAGGTTCTCATCTACTCTTCCCTGTACTTCCCTGTACTGAGCTAATTTCTGCTCAGCTGTCAATACTTGGCCCTGCTGTTGCTGTCAAGGTCTTCAGTGATGTTCGGGTCTTGCATCTTATTACCTAGTGACCTGGTCTCCCCTGTGTGCTGGGTAAAAGGAGCAAGGGGCTAAGAGACTGCTTCTCCTGCTTCTCAGGATGGCATTTCCCATGCCTTCTCTTGGATCCAAGAGCCAGCAGGAAATGTTTTAGATTCATTCTCACTCATGCTTGGAACTGCATGGAAGTGGAGGAGGGTGGTAGGGAGGGGGAATGACCATGGCAGAAAGGTTCTTGCTTCCAGGTTCAGCGGGACTGTGTATGTCTCCCACAGCCACCGACTGTGTCCGGCTCTCAGTTCAGAGCCTTTCCAGGCTGGCAGACGCTCTCCCTGCGCCCGAGGTGAGCGAGGCTGTAGTCCTCGTCTTGAGCTTCGTGAAGGATTCCTACCCCATCTCCTCAGCACTGCTCCTGGAGTTTGAGAATGGGGAGGGCTACCCTCTGCTGCTGAAGGTGCTTTTGAAGTAAGTGGCTGTACCTGGTAGAGGGAGAAACGGGACCACCCATGCTGTGCTCTTCGGAATCATTTGGTGGAAGACAGATATTGAAGAGACTCCACATGTCCTCTGAAATACAAAGCTTCCTAGATCAGGGCCAGGGATGCTGCTCACTGAAAAGTCATCCGACATTCAGACTGCAGAAGGGATCAGCTTCCCTGGAGAGCCAGTGGGTGACAATCACAATTGCTTTACCAATTCCACTTGGTGGCACATACCACCTGCATACTGCCAGCCTGACGTTCACAGTCCCTGTGTCTGTAGAGGGCTTTCTGGGGCTGGTGTGTGCCATCCTGACAGTGTGCTTAGGATGCTGGAAGTGTATGGGAACCGTTGCCCTCCAGGAGCAGCTCTTAGCTAATGACTGACAACAGCTGCTGGGCAACTACCCAGGAAAGTTGTTCCTTGGGTGGGCCAGCTCCATCCTGTCTCAACTTTCCCAGAGGGACTAACTTAGTTGTCCAAGGAGACACCTCTTCATTATGCTCACCAACTGGCTTCCTGCCCTTCCCAGCCTCCCACTACCTCTCCTCTGCTGGTCGTTTCTGGGATTAACTCAAATGAACTGCTTCTGTCCTAGACCAGGAGGGTCTAGACTAACTTCTTTCACTCTGACTTGCCATATGGTTTTCAGATTGAGCCCAGGATTAGAGAGAGAGCAAGAGATGGAAATTAAAGAAATTCCTTAATAGTTCAAACTCTTCTGAACTTGAGGAGGCTGCTTCAGGGTACAGCTGCATGTGCCCTTTTGGGCTTTGCTTTGCTTCTCTATGGAGTGCAGTTAACCACTCTCTACACAGACTTACAACAGAGTCAAGCTTCAAATGTAGAGCCAGGGACTTGGATGAGGGTGACTGAAGTCCCTTTGTCTATATAATCTCTATAGGGATGTAACAAGGTGACAATACCCTGACGGTCTTTCTCCAAAGGGATGCTAAGAATAAATGTTCCTCTGGACATATCACATTTTATATTAGTCTGATTATGGCTACTGTGGTGCTGTGGATGGCATTTGTATATATTTCTTTGGCTTAGTGGATGGCCAACTTTCCCAGGTTTCTCGTAGAAGGCAGAAAGGAAATAAGCCTGTTCCAGGAAATGTAGGGAAGCAGCCACTCAGCTGGTTGTCTTTCCTTCCTGCCTTAACTGCAGCTATACTGCATCCACTTTCCCTCCTGAAAAGGCAGAGCTGGAATGAGGCTCCAGAGGCCCCACCCCATGGCAGAGCAAGGTAACCCACCTGCCATAAGTAGCTAAACACAAAAGCCACCTCAGGCTAGGCCAGCATAAGGAAATCCATGAAGTCCATTTAGTTCCCATTCTGTTTCCTGCTCTTTGGAAATACTAAGCCTCCCATTTGGGAGGCTCCCCTGCTCTGCTGGTGCCCTAGCTCATACCTTTTGGGAATTCCAGCTGTGGAGAGCAGCTTTCCTCTGAGCAGTGCTATGGTCTGTCATAGGTTCCTCTGTACAGTAGCCTCCCTGCCCCCCAACACACCTGTTACTGGCAGGGAATATGTTCCAAGACCTACAGTGGATGCTTGAAACTCTGGATACCAAGCGTTATACATACCATGATTTTTTCCTATACATACATACATACCTGTGATAAAGTTTAATTTATAAATTGAGCATGGCAAGAGGTTAGCAACAACAATAATAAAATAGAACAATTGTATAACAGTACACGATAACAATAGTTATTTTAAACTTATGAATTGTTTATTTCTGGAACTTTCCAGTTAATATTTTACTGCAGTTGGCTGAGGGCAATTGAACCCTTGGAGTGCAGAACACAGATAAATGAAGACTGCTGCATCCCAGTTGCACTTTTTTTTTGGTGGGACTGAGATTTGAACTCGGCCTTGTGCTTGCTAAGCAAGTGCTGTAGCACTTGAGTCACTCCGATAGCCCCCAGTTACACTTCTTTAGATCTAAGATAAAGTGACATTTCCCTGGCACTGTCCTTGCCTTTGATGCTGAATTGCTTCTGGCTGGAGACCTCTGGAGTCCTCTCCAGCATGGCAGATCTGTGAGGAGCTCCATGCACAATGCAGCTGCTTCATCCAAGAAGTGCAGGTTGCTGACTTCATCTGTCCCCACAGGTATGACGGGCTGACCCAGGATGAAGTGGATCCCCACCTGGAGGAGCTCATTGGGCTGGTGGTGTGGCTGACAACGTGTGGGAGGTCAGAACTGAAGGTGTTTGACAGCGTCACTTACCCTCAGCTGGAAGGCTTCAAGTTCCATCAGGAGGCTTCTGGTGGGTCCTTCTCATGTCCCTCGGGGACTGATAGAGATAGTGTTGTGTCCTCATAAGGATATGCAGGTCTCCCTCGATTCTGTGTGCACCTGTCAGTGATGTGGGAGCATCTGATTCTCCCATAAGCTTTGGGAAGGTGACCTGTGGGTCTTAAATCTTCTTTCCACACTTTCCAGCTGTGAAACTGCCTTTTTGCACATGAGGAAGTTGGTTTTGTGTGGAGCTTAGAAGAAGCATTGCTTAGTAAAGGCAAAGAAAGACTCTCTCAATGGTAGTAGCCTCTGATTCCACCTCCACCTTGGGTGTCCCTTATGCTATGCCACTTGCTTCAATATGGGGACTAATGACCCTGAGTCAACCTTCCAGCCTCAGAGTCAGTGATTTCTCACTACTTTGAGATATTGATTGGCTGATGATTGCAGTGAGCATGTTGATACTGTTTGAGAGGCAGGTACTCTGCCCCATGCTGGGTGCCAGCATGAACAGGCACCCAGCATGGAAAGACTGTCAAGCATACACTGAACCATGATCTGCTGGATCACCAGGTGATAATGGCATCAGACACAGTGGTGACTTCTGGTGGGTCAGTCAGGAAACCCTGCACAGAGGTGCCTGGTGGAGGGAGTTTTGAAGGCTAGTGTGGGCTGTCTAGATTGAAGGGAAAGGAAGGAAATTAACAGGAGACAGTACAGCCTAGGGAAGAAACAGTGGCCTGAAACAGCTGGGCCAGTTGGGTGAGAGCTGCCACAGACCTGGGGCCAGAGGTGGCAACTGTAGGGAGAGACAGTAGCTCTGAAGTTGGTAGGCACCAGGTGAAGAAGGGCCGTCAGAGGGAATTCCAGAAGATGCAGAGGGACCGGAATAAGGGTGAGAGGATTCCTAGATCAGGGACTGTCAGAGTTACAGAAATCTCTCTGGTATCAGAGACAGAGAGATTCTGACATAGTCTCTGGGTGAGAGAGAACAAACCTTCACCTTCAAGTGAGAAAGGGTGGGAGGATTAGGAGGATGTATTCCTTAATAGCTTATCTAGAAATGAAACTGACTTTGCTCAGTCACCTTCAACATCATTCAATTTTAATCTGTTGAAACCGATCTATTCATTGGAAAAGCCCTATCGTACAATTTTAAATCAGAAGAAACAAGTCAAGTTATTTTTGATCATATAGTTTATTTACTTGATATATCCCCAATATTACATCTCGACACGTAGTCAATCTGAATGATCATTAATAAGATAGTTTCTTCCATTTTCTTTGTGTTATCCCTTGGAAATCTGGTGTGTGTTTGGCCCTCAGGGCACATCTTGGTTCAAGTGGCCACAGCTGGGGTGCACAATTAGCCAACATGTCTTTGATAACTACAGCCATTTTCACATCCGGGGTGGCTGGATTTTTCTGGATTTGAAAAGCATGTATTCAAAGAAGCTGAAAACAGAAACTTCTGATATATGTGTACTAATGATAATGTGAGCACATATTGCTAGACAAAAGCAGAAGAGATAACTTGCAGGATTATTTTTGTTTTTACCTTCAGGAATCACCGTTAAGAATCTTCAGGCCTTCCAGGTTCTGCAGAATGTTTTCCACAAAGTCAGCGACTCTGTCCTCTGCACACAAGTCCTGTTGGCTATCAGGACCATGTGGGCCTGGAACCCTAGAAACTTCTTCCTGCTGGAGTGGACGCTACAGCCCATCTCGCAATTTGTGGAGATTGTGTCTCTGAAGCCAACTCCGGTGCAGGTGCACTTTTTCCAACTGCTGGAGACCCTTGTGTTCAAGCTGCACTATGTGCCCCATGAGATCCTGGGGAAGGTGCAGCGTTTGATCAAGGAGAGTCCCGAGCTGTCCTGCACCCTTGTGGCTCTGCAGAGCATCCTTAGGATCACGGGCAGTGACCCGCTCTTCACTGACATCTTCCGGGACTCCGGGCTGCTGGGCCTGCTGCTTGCCCAGCTGCGGAAGCAAGCCAAGATCATGAGGAAGTCAGGTGCCTCCCCAGAGCATCAGCAGGGGTGGGCAAGTGGGCGGGGGTCAGCATTAGGCCAGGCCTGGTTTGCATGCCAATCTGGCTGTACCTCAATGTAGCAGAGAAAGGAGTGTGCCCATGTCCCTGGACTGCATGAGGGTCAGAGAAGGTGCCCCAGGGACACATGGCTTTAGGAAGAACGGGTAGCCACTCAGACTTTCCCATGAAGAAGTGAGAGGGATGGATACAACTTTAAATGGACTCTTGGAGACTCAGGCCCTGGAGATTCTCAGTTTTCAGATATCTCCTGTGCTAGACATTGTCTGGGTATCCAGATGGGAGATGGTAGTGGCCATAGGTTCTCAGTAATGGAAAGAGAACAGGAGCCTGGAGAGGCCTGGGGTTCTAGGGCCCTTCTTAGGGTCTGCTGGATGTGGCTATGCTGTAAAGGGGTCGCCAGGGCCTTGCTGGCCTAGAATGTTCCTCCAAGTTTATTCCCACTTACTATGCCCTGCTGGGCTGTACACCTGTGCTGCTTGTGTGCATCCCTGACCACTACCTCCATACCTGAGGTTTAGACCACCCAAAATTCTGATGTGTAAGCCTCAGCAGCCTCTGCTGCCCCTGTGGGACTCTGGGGTTCCTTCTGCCCTCATGGGAGTGCATAGTGGTCAGGGGTTGTGTTGTGTTATTGCCTCACTATGCCCCCCTCCAAATACTCTGCTGTCTATGTGGGAGTCTGCAGTCCTCACCTCCAGTGATTTCCAAATAGGAAGCAGGGCACAAAAACTTCATTCTGTATTCCTTCTGGCTGTCCCTTGATCTGTCTACTTCTGCTGCTCTAGGATACCAACCTGGTGGACAGATGCCAGGACACAAGAATCTGGCCACTTAAACCTCTCCCCCACCCTTTCCTCCTCTCCTTTTCTTTCTTCACTGCACTGCCTGGGAAGGTCTGGGAGCTCTCTAGACTTAGAAGCTTTTGAAATTCTGCTTCAGACATAAGGCAAGGTACTCAGTCTGTTTCCTGGGACTCTCTGAGGTGAAGAAGCTGAGGGAGAGAGCCAGTCTGGGTTGGAATCCTGGCCATGGTACTACAGGATGTTCTTCACCTGTGTGAGACGGTTTCCTCCTCTGTAAAATGAGGACAATATATATATATTAATATATATATTTAATATATATATTTATATCCTCTCTCTCTCCTTCCTTCCTTCCTCCCTTCCTCCCTTCCTTCCTTCTTTCCCCTTTATCTCTCTACCTACCTACCTATCTATCTATCTATCTATTGAGAGAAAATGCTAGATTAGTTCTCCCTTCCTCTTTGTATCAAGCCATTCATCCACTGGGCCACCCTCATGACCTCATCTAATGCTAACTACCCACCAAAGGCCTCACCTCCAAATACCACCGACATATGAACTTAGAGAGTAAGTTTTCAGCACATGAACTTTTGGAGGACACAGTCAAAGCATAGCAAACTTCTTGCCTTAAATCCCATCATGAATGAGGTTAACATATTGCCTCCCTTGCTTTCTTTGGTGTTTAGCAAGAAGTCTTTGCACAGTCTTTGTTTAGTGTTTCTATGTTATCCTAGCTAAGTGTTGCTTTTCAGCAGCCTAAGAGCAAATTTTCTTTTAAATCCAATTCCAGACCTATGGCCATTCCTAGGAGAGTTGTGCTTTGTTTTTAAATGTGTCTTAATGATTCTTAGATATTTTGTTTCCTGGTTAATAAACTCTTCTTGTACTCATTCATTTACTCATTCTTCATCCTCCAAATATGTACTGGGCTTCCAATTTGTTCAAGCCAGTTCCTTTCTAGTGCTGGAATACAATGGTGAATGAAGAAATCTGGTTTTGCTTTCACAGATCGGCTATTCATGCCGGAAGCTCTTGAGCTGCTCCATAGCTTACTCCATGAGCTGATAGCCCTCCCTATCCCAGGCATGAATGGCAGACCACAAAAGGAAGATCAGGGAGTCTAGGGCAATGCTTGTCAAAGAGTGGTCATTTGGCCAGTTCTACCAGCATCTCTTGGGAACATGTTAGAAATGCAATTGTAGGATCTTATCTGAGACCTACTAAGTTAGAAATTTTGGGGATGGGATCTAGCATGGAGCTCTGGATTTTAACAACAAACCCACCAAGGGGATTCCGATGTGCTCAAGTTGGAGAACTATTGTTGTTGGTGGTGTTAGGGTTATATCTTATGAATTGGGGGGCTCATTCCCTTATAATGGAAGCATTGCTTTCACATCACCTTAAAAGAATAGAAAAACAATGGAGTCAGAGATTGTGGGTCACACCATGTCTTCTTAAAATTGTTTTGTGGTTGTTGATTCTTCAAAATGGCAGGAAACAAAGAGTCCAGTTCTGGCATTCAGGATTCAGAAAGAGAACTTACCTGTGTAATGCTGAGAACTGTGGTCACACTTCTGAAAGGCTCTGTTCGGAACACAGGTAAGGATATTACCAGTTTTGCCTTTTCACTGTTGAGAAAAATATTTACTATTTCCTGGTTACTACTCAAAGGTTATATTCAAGGAATTACCAATGCTAATGCTGTGGGCAATATCCATTTGCTGTTTTGTAATCATTTGTACATTAGTAGATGCCTTGATTAATGGTTATATATATATATATTTTCTTTTTTGGGTGGTGATACTGGGGTTTGAACTCAGGGCCTTCATGTTTGCAAGGCAGGCACTCTTACCACTTGAGCCACTCTGCCATCCCAGTTGATAGTTTTTACTTAAAAATTTTATTATTAGTACTATCATCATCATCACTGTTATGCAGAGCTGCGGATGGAACTTACCTTGCATAACGCTAGGCATGGGCTCTATCATTGAGCTACATCCCCAGCTGACATTTTCTCTTTCTAAGGTTGTAAAATGAGGGTGGCGAGCAAAAAGACTGTGCTTAATCTAGTATTTTCTAAATTAATGAGACCATAGAGCCCCCCTCCTCCTTTTTTCAAGTAAAATCTGTTAACACCCCTCTGCAGGGATTATAGATGCTTTTTTAGAATCAAAAACTAAACTCTTTTTTTGAGGAATATAATATGATGTCCTCTCAGTCAGGAATGAATCTAGCAACTCCAGCCATCCTGATTTTTTTAGCTTCCTAATATTATGTGGTTTCCCAGTTTTTTAAAATATATTTTTTGATACAATATGAAACAGTTGTACCAATGGTCATATCAGTGGGCAATGGGTTTTGGTGATTTAAGCATCTTTAGTTGAGATCTTCCTAGATTACCTATACTAAGTGTAAAAGACTATTATTTCATCACAGCAGCGTGGAGTCAAATATCCCCTGGAGGTGCCAGGAACATTCATATTCCTAGGTTC